GCAGCCGCCGGGCCCGGGCCAGGCAGAGCCCGACGCCCGCCAGCCATTCGTGGAAGTGTGCCACCACGTGCGGCTTCTCCTCGCTCTGGGCCAGGAACTGTGGGGCCACAGGACCAGGGCCGCTGTGGCTCCACGGGTTGTGAAGACGATCCATCCGCAGTCCCCCAGGTGGAGGGGGCGGCAGCGGGAAAGTAAATCTAGCACAACCCCTGCACCGAGCGAATGGCGACCCACTGCAACCCCCAGAAGAGGAGAAACCATACATTTTTGAGGCGGCCGGGCCAGCGGAGGCTGATGGGAGCTGGGGTTAATTTTGGCCAACCTTCTAAATCTCAGCAAGGCTGAATCGGAAAGACGGAAGTTTCCGTGTCCCCAAGTTTCTGGACACAATGCCTAGAGACCCTGGTTCTCAATCACCAATAGACCTGCCTTCAATCAATAGCGGCGAAAGGACTACAACTCCCAGAATGCCCGAGAAGCAGCCAGGTCATAAATTGTTTTCCCCAGGGCTCATGGGACATGAAGTTTCTTGAGCCTTTTAAGACCTAAAAGGGGATCAGAACCGAGTTTCCTGGTTCAGACATAGGCTGGCGTTTCCCAAACATCCAGGGCTCGCTCCATCTGAAAGTCCAACCATGATCAGACTAGAGAACTACAACTCCCAGAATTCCCCGGGTGAGCCCTCCAGCCATGCCAACCTCTGCAAGAACTAATGGCTCAGAATTCCCAAACTGGGGAGGTTAGAGTGAATCAGGCTGAGGGTGGGAGTTTGGGTCTCTGAGGGAAAAGAGTCTGAGTCCTTGGGCATCCAAGTTTCCAAAGATAAGGGTTAGAGGACCCACAATTCCTAGAATGCTCAGTTCCCCTCTGTCGCCACCCAGACCCTTCTGTCCAGGGGCTGATGGTCACTGTAGTTTGGGGCCTGGGACCAAAAGGAGTGACATGGGGACCAGCGATGGGACCTACCTCACCCAGGAACCAGGTGGTGAGGAAGCCAAAAAGGACAGCGTCGTTGGCCTCGCGGTCGTACCAGGGCACCCCGATGTTGCAGGTGTCCCAGAGCTCCCCCTTCCAGCGCTCCAGGGCCCAGGCTGAAGCTCCCACATCCAGGAGCACCACCAGGGGGCCCCCTTCGATCAGCCAGCGCCCAAAATACACCTGGGGAGACCCACAGGGAGGCTTAGGGCTTTGACCACAGCCTCTGGGCACAGCATCCCTGCTTCTCCCACCAGCAGTGATATCTGGGCTTCCTGCCTCGGTTCCCCCACCCGGTTTCTGCATCTGCTGCTAATTTCTCACCCGCTGCCTTATTTCTCCATTTGCTGTGTGTTAGTCCCACCACAATCTTTTTTTAAAAAAAAAATGTTTTAAATTGATTTCAGAGAGGAAGGGAGAGGGGAAGAGAGACAGAAACATCAAGGATGGGAGGGAATCATTGATAGGTTGCCCCCTCACGCCCCACACTGGGGATCGAGCCCCAACCAGGAATCAAACCGTGGTTCACAGGCGATGCTCAACCACTGAGCCACGCCAGCAGGGCAATCTGATTTTCGAGAGGGAGGAGGGGCGAGAGAGAGAGTAAAACATCGATGTGAGAGAGTTACATTGATAGGTTGCCTCCCCTACGTGTACCGACTGGGTTGAACCCACAACCTAGCCACGTGCCCTGACCTGGAATCGAGCCAGCCAACTTTCAGTACAGGGGACGATGCTCCAACCAACTGAGCCAAACGAGCCAGGGCCCACCACAGTCTTTTCTTTTTTAAAATATATTTTTATTGATTTCAGAGAGGAAGGGAGAGGGAGAGAGAAACATCAATGATGAGAGAATCATTGATCACCCTCCTCCTGCACACCCCACACTGGGAATCGAGCCGGCAACCCGGGCAGTTTCCCCAACCAGGAATCGAACCGTGACCTCCTGGTTCATAGGTTGACACTCAACCACTGAGCCACGCCGGCCAGGCGCCACCACAATCTTGTCCATGTCTGTTGCAACGCTTTTCCGGTCCCTTGCTGCGATTCTGTAACTGCTGCTCTCGCCCACCTGCTGCCTCTCCTCTCTTTCTAACCACACAGTCCTGTCCCTGTGCCCCCCTGCCCGTTTTCCCACCTGCTAACCATTACTCGGACCTGCGGCCTTGCTTGTCTGCTGCCGCATCTCTCTCCTCGATCACCATGACACTTTCTGCCAGGACCTTTCCTTCCTGCTGCTTACTCCTCCCCCAGGACGCTGCTTTTGCTGTTCTCGCTGCCACATGTCTTCCACCCGCTGCCTTGTTTCTGACGCTTCCACCACATGTGTCACCTGTCGCCTCTTTCCTCTGCCCTTAGGCTCCTGCGGTACTTTGCAGCCACGTTTCTGCCACCGTCAGCTCTTTCCCCGTCGCAGGGCTGCGTTTTTCTACCCCCGGCCACGTTTCTAAGCCTCGCCGTCTCATTTCTGCCCCCACCACATTCTCCTGGTCTGGTTCTTTTCCTCCAGAGACCACGGCCCGGGGTCCGGGCCTGCTGCCGCAGCGCCATCCAACTGACGGGCGGCCACCGGCCTCCCCAAGCTGGTCCTTCCCAGCCTCGGGAGCCTGACCCCACGCCCCTCCCCCTCCCAGCTGTTGTCTGCCCTTTTGCCGGGGGGCCTATTCTTAGGCCCCCAGCACGTGGGGAGCAGCTGCCTTAGGGGGAGGGCTGGGTTGCTCTAGGGTTCCTTAGGGACACCTCTGGCCTGAATGGGCTCCAGACCCCACCCCAAAGCAGAAGCTGTGAATGAATGAAGAAACCACTGCACCTCTCCCTCCCGATCTGTCCGTCCTTCAGTCCTTCAGCCCTCTGCCTCCCAGCCCCCTTCTGGACCCTTGGGACTCTCACTTCCTCTCTCTCTCTCTCTTTTTTAAAAAAATATTTTTATTGCCCTGCCCGGTTTGGCTCAGTGGATAAAGCGTCAGCCTATGGACTGAAGAGTCCCAGGTTCGATTCCAGCCAAGGGCACATGCAGGGGTTGTGGGCTCGATCCCCAGTAGGAGGCATACAGGAGGCAATAAATCATTGGTTCTCTCTCCCTCCCAGGCATGTGCCCTGACTGGGAATCAAACTGTGACCTCCTGGTTCATAGGTTGAAGCTCAACCACTGAGCCACGCCAGCCGGGCTCCCCTCTCCTCCTTAATCCCTGGCTCTGTCACCAAAACTCCGTCCCCTGGGTCTGCCTGGCAGCCTCTCCTCCCTTCATCAGTATTCCATCTTCCTCTCTCCTTCTGAGTCTTTCTCTCTGAAACACTGGGTTGC